AACTTCAGGACTATTTTTATCAAATAACTAGCCTTCACAAGAGTTGAATAAAAATGATTCTTTCGAATTGAGAACATTTACAAAAAAAATAAATTAGAGGTCAAATACAATACTATCATTAAACATGATACCACACAACCAAAATAAATAAAATTAACAAACAAGTGGCACAAGGAAACTATGATTATAGTATTTCCACGATTATAATATTTATTCTCCATGAAATCTATACAACTGTATAGAAGAATTTTCAATAATCAAGATCAAATCAATAAAGTTCAGTTTGTAAAGTGCATAGTTTAGTTCATTCATAGCAACATACCTTTAAAAAAAATTGTATTTACTAATAAATGAACCAATATTATTTTTATGACATAATACTTACATCTGGTCGAACAGAAAGACCGGCCGAAAAACAATCTGCGGCTTTTGTGTGTTCTCCTGTCAGATTAAATAAAACGCCTAATCCACATTGTACTTCATAATCAACGTCTTGAGGATGCCGCTGAGCAGCTTTAATAAATAATTCTTGCACTATCTTGTGATCGTCTCTGCGTGAAAAAAAAATCATAAGACTGACACTTGATGCTGAGAACAACATTTGAAACCCACAGCGACATTTATTTGGAAAGGTACAATTCAGTTTTCACTAGAATATGAGGATTTTCAAACATTGTTCAAGACATTCATGTCATTACTACTTACTGATAAAAATTGTCTGAAATTAAGATGACAAAGTATTAAGTATGTAAAATTATGTTCAACATATGGCAGAAATATTATAACATAAAACAACAGAAATAAAAAAGCCAAGCGAATATCAACAAGAACGAGTAAAACTGCTATTTACAAAGCATATCAACAGTAAGAAAAAAAAAGTACCGGTTCACAAATAAGATGGAGCAATGTGGTTTTACATCATCGATATTATTTTAGTTTGTTGTTATATAATTTCATATTATCAATTTGGTGATTCTAAGCCTGTTTACATATTTATGAATCATTTGGAGTCGTTAATGTTAAAAAATAAAAATCAAGTATATAATATTTTTGAATTGTGTTGTTCATTCAGTTCAGTTATTACACAAATTATCATCTTCATAAGATAGAAAAAAGTTATGTACAGAAGACATGGTTTTTATATTTTTCTTGCATTTTCATTTAGAATATGAACAAATGTTGAAATTTACTACTTCGGGTTTTTTCATATATTGATTAATTTACCCCTCTTCTACCAATATTTTTAATGGTAAGGCTTTCATAAGATTTCACAAAAATTAAACCAAATGTCCCATTCTATTTGAGAAAGAATGGCGTGCAGACATGCAGCCCTGCACCTTCACTTACGGAACTAACAAACTTGTAACTTGCCCGGATAGTGTCAAATTCGGCGGCACCAAATCGTTGTATTTCGTGTTGTTCTTCAACCAATTCAATAGCATTTGACATGCCTGGTTGTAATAACTTTCATTGGTGTAACTAATGGCAAGAGCCATCAGTGCATTGAGGTTAGTGGGGTCCAGCTGGAGACACCTGTTCAATGCTGCTATTGCAACTGGATCCTTGAACAAAAACAATTTTTAGAAATTCTGACACTTTTATACCTGGTTTTGAGTATATTCTCAAAGCATCAACAAGTAGATAAGCTAAACCTGTGGTCGTCAAATTGCGACCGGTATTTGTGCGGCCTACGACAGTAAATTATTTCAATAGTCAACTACATGTCATAAACAAAATCAAAACAGATTTTGCGTTCGAATTGAAATTTTGATTTTTTTTTTGTTTTTGATTGTTATTATACTTCAATTATCTATATATGTGATCAAATGAAATATCACATAAATGATTCCTCAATTTAAAAAAATACCAATGACATCATTTTGAAACAGGTAACAAATCTTTTTTTACAATAAGAATTGAAAGTAAGTTGTTTACAAAATAATGAATTTGTTTCATAATTTAATTTCTAACTGTGTAATTTTCCCTATGAAAAATATTCAACTGAAATTCAAAAGATATATCCCCAGTAAATCCTACTCACTTGGTTAATACTAAAACGTATATTGAATTTATGAAACAGATATCCTGTAACAATAATTCACAAAACCCAAGTGGATGATCATTTACAGACCAGTTTTGAGATATTGGCTCCTCATAAGTGCAGATCATACCAAAGCTTCTACATTACTCATGAAGTTTCCTCAACGAACTTGCTCAAAGTTCAAAGTAAGTCTTTACGCACAAGATTGTACAAAGCGAATCGAAGTACCTCTGTACTCTATTCTCCTCGCTCAACTTTGATCAACTTCACGAGTAATGTAGATGTACCCCAAAAATAGTACTCAAGAGATTTGGTATCGTGCTTGAGTCGGTGAAGTCCCAGTCTCTGCGAAACCTTTGCATGATAGCAAAGCAGTCAACTACTAAAGTGAGGTCAATTTTATCTCATGACTAGAGCTGTATTTGCAGAGTAATGTAATGGTAGGATCCCAAATAGTTAACAAGCTGTCTTGGTATAATAAGAGTAATTCCTGAGGAAACTTGCACAATTAGCTATCAAATAAAATTCAATATACATAGACGTTTGGAATGAAGTTGTCTGATTAAAAAAAAATTACAGTATAGTACTCTAATTTTCATTCAAATTATTAGTTTTCGTAAAGTGTTTATCTGTCCTCAGCACAGCAATCTAGACTTACATTTCTATAATTGGGAATAATTTCTGATGATGGCACTGCTCAAACGATAAACAGCTGATCGAAATAACTGAATGTTGCTTAATCATGAATTCATAAGAGTATGATTTTTGGTGCAATTATTATAATCATGAGAAACTGAAAATGGGTAAATATAATTACTTTCACCAAGGGGAAGCACAAGAAGCCATAACAATAATATATGAAAACAGCTGACAGGACTTTGTTTTACCTACCTGCATAGTTCTAATATGTCTAATAGACGTCGTATCTAGACGATGAACTTCCCAATATTCATGAACAACTTACCTGCTCATTTTCAGCTTGAGTCGTACCAAGCAACAACCAAGCCTCAACATTTTCAGGTTCTTTTTTTGCTGCTGCTTCAAAACATAATACAGCACTAGGAAAATCTCCTTCTTCTAAAAATTGTTTGCCTCTCTCTAATGGTTTTATTACATCTAACATTGGATTGTCTTCACTAAATTCATACTCCTAAAAGTAACCAATTCGAAGATTATTTACTAGTTACAAGTTTTTACACTACTTAACACTCTCAATACTTTGAGGAAATTGAAAAGAATTGTTGGTTGACATCTTAAATCTTTTTTTATTTTCAATTACATTTCTCAATATAGTATAGACGAATATATCATATACTAAGGAGTTTAATTTCACGATGAAGTCCCCAGGTCGAAATAGAGCATATTGGATAAGGATTTCATTTCAAGCACATGTATTTTTCTATGTTTACTATGTATTTGTAATTACTGTTACTTATGGAGTTGATGTTCATATTCTTCATTTTTGAGTTCAATTTGCTGTTTTAATTACATTCATTTCACATTAGTATTCTTAATATTCATATGAAGCAATAGTGTGAACAATAGAGTATATAGGATAAAGATTCCATTTAGATTAGATTACATGCATTGCATTCGTTTCATAATCCATATCAATGAGAATATTTTTGCAGTACATGTTATGTTGCAATACATTCCAGTGTTGACCAGTGTATATAAGCTAATCTGCGTTCCTGGCAAAGACACAACCTGATACTTCAGATGTTGACTACAGATGGGGCTCGATCCAGTTCCCCGATACTTTACTAAAAGACTTGACATTCCAGGATATCACTCGATAGAAACCACAGGGCTTGTGTCTTGAGCTTGCTGAGCTCAAGATTACCTACTCTCGTTGGATAGAGTCATTTTGTTGCTTTCGTCTTCAGCGTGCCAAGCTGGAAGAAAGTGGCTCTAATGGCTCTATCAACGAGTGTTTCAAAACAGGTAAAGTCATTACAGGTATTAGCCAGGAAAGTAGTTGTTTTCCGGCAGGCATTTACCTGATCCTACCGTGTAGGATCAATCAATCAATCAAACTACTTTATTGTCGAAGAATAATTATTCTTATTGACAAAGTGAGTAGATAACAATGAAGTGGATATCCACTGTGTCCAATACATATGAGAGACAAAAAATATGAAAATATAAATGTAAAGATGAATAAAATGTCCATATAAATAAACACAACCATGACAAATAGAATGATGACATTCACTCACATATATTCGAAACTAATTACAAAACAATATCTAGACATGAAGTTGAAACCTATATCTTTATGCAAATATAAATGATTAAAAATGGTCATTGTAATATTTCTGCAGGTCATAATACGCTTTTGGAATGAGAAATAATTTTATCTCCTTCCTATATTTTTTTTTAAATTTCTGATTGCTTTAAAATGTTCAGGCAAATGATTGTACATTTTTTTTGCTTTCGTATATTATTGAATTTTTAATTTGAGTCGACCTAGGTATTGGCAGGGAGATATGGCAGTTATTTCTGGTGTGCCTGGGATTTAATGGGTTATCATTCGATAAATGTCTGTTGTGAATCAAGCATACAGTCTCCATAATGAAAAGGCATGTAAGCGTAAGAATTTGATGCTTGATGAATAGTGGTCTACAGTGATCCCTTGCTTTGGCCTTGTACAAATAACGGATTGCTCTCTTTTGTAGAATGAACACAGAATTCCATAAGGTTTTCCTACAAAAACCCCAAAAGGGTAGTCCGTATCTAATATGGGATTCTATGAGTGAAAAATATGTGTTTCTACCAATAGCTGTACCAAGCTCGTTTGTCACTATTCTAATAGCATAACAACCCGATGCTAGTCTTTTTTTTAAGGACGTTATATGTTCCTCAAACCCTAACTTTCTGTCAATGTGTATACCCAGGAATTTAGTGCTCGTTTTGTTTTCTACTTGATGTGTTCCTAAGACCAAGTTTTCGAATTCGAATTTGAAGGTAATTATATTAGTTTTTTCCACATTGAAACAAAGATTATTTGAGTTACACCAAGATTCGATTTCGCTGAGTTCATTGGAAATAACTGTTTTTGATCAGAAAGACCTGCAGGAATAACTGAAGCAGTGACATCGTCAATGAATTTAGTACATACATAGTCAATTGTACTAGCTGAATATTGAAACACTCTAGTAGGTTCTTTTACATGCATCGAAAAGTTAAAAGATAGGAGTAAGTTGTTTAATTCTCTTGATTTTGTATCAGAATATTTTATATTAAAGTCGCCAGCTAATATAATTTTGGCATGAATAGATAATTGCGATAATAGATTTTCTAGACTGTCCAAAAAAGCTATTAAGTCAGTGCCAGGTGCTCTTTAGATGCATACAATATAGAGTTTATTTGAACTGTTATAAACAATGAAAAACTCGAATATTTTTTCCGTGAGAAAGTAATTGAATTTAGATATGTTTTCAAGTGGAAATATATCAGTAACTTTTTTGTTTACCAATATCATGGTACCTCCATGTGTAGTAATCTGGCGGTTGAATCTGGATGCAACAATATAGTTAGGTACGAAACAGGGTTCCTCCATATTCAGCCAGTGTTCAGTGACCAGGACCAGGTTTGGCCAATTTAGAGATTCAGCGAATATAAGAAGTTCGTCAATTTTATTCCTTATTGACTGGATGTTGGAGAAATGACTTTATTTTCATATATAGTCATCAGATATATTTTGATTCAAGGAGAGTAAAATTGAATCAAAGTATTTTACCAGTGATGGGCTATAATATTTTTCATGCCAATAACAGGTTATAAATGCAATGTTTTATGTATTTTAAAGAAGAGAAAAACGAAAGTGTTGTTGCTTTCAATTAATTTTGTTCACTTAGTATGTTAAACTAATTGACCATGGTTTTTGTTGATAAAAAAAGACGATTTGGAAATTGACAATAATTTGAAAGTTATAAAAATAAAGATGTTGACTTGAAACATTTGATTCCTGGTTTATTTCGACTTTAAATCAAAGGACATCACAGTAGGACTGACTAGTCCAAACATTGGTCCTTCGAGCAAAAGAAAAAGAACCAAAAGTAATCAATTACAATATGTCCATGCCTATCCTGAGGAGGAGTGAGAGGAAAACTAAAGGAGTTCCTCCTGAAAGATATAGCCACGTATGTTATGACCCACAGCAAGTTATGGAGTTGCAGAAACGTTCTTCATTAGAAGACCCATCTAATGGCAAAGACAAATCAAAAATTACGAAATCTTCAAGCTCTAGACGACGAATGTTGGAAATAGAATTGGAAGAAACGAGAAAATTAGCCCCGAAATTGATAGGAGAGCCGAAATTGATGCTGAACTAATAAGGAAAGAAGCATAACTACAACGTGAACTGATTCAAAATTCTTCATATAAAAAGTTCACAATCTCTAGTGGCAAAAACATCATTGATTTGGAAGAAATGACGCTACAAGAAAAAGTTGCTGAATGGAAAATCGAAGAAACAGAAAATAAAACCGATTTCGTACCAAAAAACAATTTTATTACGATGACTACTGATAATTTCAACCAGATTTTAGACGTTTTGAAGATAAATAAATCAAAATGTTCGGAAAAAAACAGAAAATGTTAAAACAAATTTGTTGATTTTCGATGGGAATATAGAGGACTGGGCTTTGTTCTACAGTCAGTTCAAACGTTCCACCAAACTTTTTGATATATATGTGAAGATGAAAATATAATCCGCCTACAAAGATCTTTAAGTGTCTTTAGCCTTTAGTTACTAAAACGTATACCGCCAGATGGCAGTGCGATTTCGCCCGATGAAATAAATACAAACTCCTCCCTAATTCTATCTTGACCAGGCCGGGGCATTCCAGGGCCGAACTTTATTCGCCGACGTGTTCGTTCTTCCAAATTACATTTTAGATAAAAACATGTTCGTTTTCGTGTTGATCTCAAAGTTTGCACGAAAATTGCAGATTATTTGAAAATTATGAATCTTTTATCAAAATTGATAAATTCAAGATGCGGACGAGATTTGTGNATCTTTCCTCAATCAGAATAAGAAAAATCGTTTCTGACTCCTTTTTTTTTTCAGGGATGAAGACCCTTAAAAGGAAGGGCTAGAGATGCATTACAACCTCTTCACTCCACTGTCACTCCAAAAGAGTGACAGTGGAGGTATCTTCAATGGAAGGAACTCAAAAATATACAAAATGAATGAAGTTCGAACTGTAGTGGACTCCCACTTCCAAGACAAACCATTGATGTCGAATACCTGAGTAGAATCTATCCATACATCAAAGAAGCACCTGTACTTTCCTTTTATGATGCACAACCAACAATTCTCATTGGTCAGGACCAATGTGCTTTGACTATTGCAAGGAAAATATATCAAAGTTACTGGGATGCACCGTTTGTATCAAAAACATTACTGGGATGGGTAGTGCATGGCAGATACCCCCAGGGAAAAGTTGCTGATAAATCGTCTTTAATATTTCACGTTTGTTGCAAATCTCAAGAAAAAAATTGATGAAGAAAATGGAAGATCTAAAGAAGATAGGGCGTTGGAAAAAATGGAAAATACAATTAATCGAGTTGGAAATCACTTTGAAATAGGTCTACTGTGGAAGAATAATGATGACCGATCTTCTAGAGAGCTGAAGATGAAAAAGAAAAAGGAAAAGAAGAAACGTGACAGTAGTGAGGGGAAGGTAGCAAAAAAAGACATCAGAGCTACGACTCTGAAGAAGAGAAGAGAGTGAAGAAGCGCAGGTCAGTCAGTTCAGAAAAAGGAAAAAAGTCAAAAAAGGATTCTAGTGACAGTGACGTTCCTGCTAAGAAAAAGAAGAAACAAGATCAATGCAGAATAATTATAATAAACCCTGCCTGAGGAAAGTTCGTAACATTAGACCAAAGAATACTAAAAATGGAACAGTTCATAGAAACAAATCAATCACTAGACTTTCAAAAGTGGAACAGTTGGCTAGAATCGATTAATAATTATTCTGGAACAATTAATCAGGTGTCAAATTCATCAAATTGGGAAACTTTTATATAACAAGCTTGAAAGAAGGAAGAAACGGTCAACAAATCTAATTTTCCTGAAAATGGTGACACCCTCAAAAATGACGAGAAATATATTTTCCAGCTGTTTAAAGATTTGGATCCCGATAATTGTGTCAAGAAAAAATGTCTTGTTAGGAAGGAAACTTTGACACCAGGCACTAAAGCCACTCACATTTTCTAATTTGGTAACTAGTTTTTTTGCATTATGATATGATCTAACTATGTAGTATCATTAGTGAACATGAATATATAACTGTTATCCTCAGTAGACGATTAACAAATAATAATAATTCAGTGTTCTTTTTTTCAAAGAAATGTGTGGCTTTTCTAAATCTTTATAAAAAGGTGTCTCCCATGAGCATTTCATCATTTCACTAACGACTATATCAATCAACTATCAGAAATTATCTTATCTTATATGTAGATAAGATAATTTCTGATACCAGAAAAATCCAATAATTTTGCTAAAGAAAGGTTTGTTAGGTAACAGGATCAATTTTTCCTTAAAAAAACAATTGTTTTCTTGCCGACGTTTCGAATTTAAATTAAATTCTTCTTCAGGGCTCGAAAAGTAGTTTATTTGTGTTAAAAGTTATTGTAGATAAAATGAGTTTGACCTCAGACACTGCAGATTAATATTAGATAAATTTGACCTTTTTATTCACCTTTTGGGGAGTATTGTAGTAAGAATTAAATTCGTCAATCCATGGCTGGGTTGAGTCAGTATCAGAGTTGGATACTTTCTTCATTTCTTCTTGCAACTGATCCCAAAAACTTGAGTTAAATTCTTCCTCTGAAAATAACAGTTATGTCTTTGTGTAAAAGTATTAATTGTAGTATTTTCCACATAACAATTTGCTATGTATGACTAAGATTGGGAGATGGTTGAGTGTCATGCCTGAAAATTTGATTCATATTTTTTTATATTTAATTCAGCATATTCAGAATGATGACAGTTTGTATTATTTTCAAATACCTTTGGATCTCAAATGTTCATTAGCCCAATCTGCAGCTATGGATTTCAGTTTATCAGTTTCGTCACCTTTTCCTTCAGTTCTGAAATATTCGTTTGTCCATTCCTGGGCTTCTACAGATTTGGTGCAAAAATGCTCTCTACTTAATATATTCTATGTGTGATATGTAAAATCATTGGTCCATTTTCATTTAATTTTCTTTTTACAAGATGCGGTCTACATTTACGTTTTTGTTAAAGTCCCATGTAGTGGCCAGAGGTAATAACTTTAAGATATGCTTGGAGCATGTAGCACTTCTGTATGAGATCAATTCAATAATAGTGAAATATGCAATAGTGCAAAGTTATCATAACCTTATAAAAATTCATTCAGCTGATCAAATTTTCCACAACTTTCTGAAATGACATCAGTTATTCACAAAAGTACAATCAAACAATAAAATAATAACATTTTTTGACCAAAATCAATATGAGTCTGTCAATAATTGGTACAGAAACTTTTTCAAAAACATCCCAATTCAAAATGATCAAGGAATAGATAAAGATTGATATTATAACATCATCAGTGAGGGGAAAAAATACAGCCCCAGGAATAGACAATATATCTAGGAGAATAGTACGAGCCCTAGAATCAGATATACACAAACATATCATCTCCATCTATGAATATTGTTTGAACAATCATTACTATCCTACAGCCTGGAAAGAAGGATTAATAATTGCCATTCCAAAGCCCAATACAGACCATTCACAGGCCTGCAAGTACAGACCCACTACTCTTCTTCCAGTGTTAGGAAAAAAAATTGAGAAAATCATCTAATATCAACTCAGTTAACATATCAATATACCAATGTATCAATTTGGTTTTAGAAAAATAGAAATACAACCCACTCTCTAGTAATTGTAACATCTAATGTTCAAACAGCACGCATGATCAACCTTTGTGGCACTACTTTTGGATATCAATAAAGCTTTTGATAGCGTTTGGTAAGAAGGAATGTTATATAAACTTTACGAATTGAATACCCCTATCCACCTTCTCTGTATAATAAAACAATATTTTGAGAACAGAACCCTCACCGTCAAAGTCAGAAATTCATTCTCCAAAAAATTTGCTCCCCAATAAGGGGTTCCAATTCTCTATAATATATACTGCCATGATATATACAATCACAACTTGGAAGACAAGAATGAATTTAATGAAAACCTTTACATCTTACAGTATGCAGATGACACTGCCTTAGTTTCACACAACCGCATGCTAGTACTCACAATAGAGGAACTGCAAAATCTCGTCGACAGGACAACGTTCTGGTTCAATAAATGGAGATTGAGACCAAACCCGGAAAAATCACAATTTATCATTTTTCATCACAACCCTTCAGAGACACTACCAACAATAAACATCAGCAATGAAACGGTAAGAAGCAGGCAATCAGTAAAATACTTGGGAGTTAACATTGACCACAAAATTAACTTTGAACAGCCATACAAAAATCACTAAGAAGAAAAGCATCAATAGAGGAAAACACTTTCGGAGTCTGACATTTGAAAAAAGAGGAATCAACACTAAAACTGCAACTAAAATATATAAAATGATTTGTTGTCCACTTCTCGAATATGCACATGTAATTTATTCAAGTTGTCGTAATCCTGCATCAAAAAATCTCTAAACAGCTGAAACATCTACACTAAGGAGTATTACCAAAATGCGTCACCCTCAGAACATACTACACAATCCCTCAAACGCACTGCTTTATAGAACTATGAAAGTGAAACCTATAAAGGAGAGACTATCAGACCTAGGAAACCGCTTTGCCCAAAATGAAACTAACTTGGAGACCCTATAGGTCCTTTGGTATTCACTAATAGCAAGGATTCCTAATATACAAATATGAGATAAGGTATACTTCATATGTGATTTTGTTATCTTAATTCACAATTATTTCATTATTGCTATTTAATGCATACCTAATCCACATCATTCAACAGTACCAAACATTTGGTTTAACAAGTGCAAGAATATTTCAGAACTGAAATTATACATTAGGAGAAAAAAATATATCAGAAATATACATGTACATATTATTTACAAATACATCACCAAAAAAGAAGGTTCAAGCTTGATAATGAATGAAGTTCAGCAAGTTACTTTTGAACATTTTCTAATCACAAGCAAAATATCAAAGAGGTTCTTTAGAAGGAGCAATAAATGAAGATTACACAAGATTCCATTGTGTCGATAAAGGAATGAGTACCAGATCTTGAAGAAACATCAACTCTTCTGCTTGGAAGAGGAGCCATCATCAATTCCAGAGGTTCGTTCAACCACCCACAACTTGTCCAGATTCCTACTTCCACTCGTCCTCACCTTTTGTGAAGAATTGAAGGCACTTGCTGTTTACCTAGAAATTGCCTAAACTCTTAAACACCGATTCCATCATAATGGTCATAAGATTGCCCCTAAACAATTCATGCTGCCCCTACGATGTTTCGTTAGGCCAGTGAAAAATGCACTCAAGGCTATTTTGCACGAGAAAGCAGCTCAAGAAGAAGTCCTCTAAACTCTATTCATTGAAGTGGAATACATAGTGAATTGCCGTCCATTACAGACCACTGTAGCGAAGGTGGGTCAAAGAATAACTCTCAGTTTTGAGTTAACATACAAAATGGTTCTCCTCTTCAACGGGAGAAATCAAAATAGGTGATGTTGTAATAGTAGACTCTGACTTCTCAATAAATTTATGGCCCAAGGGTATTGTAATAAAATCATATCCGAGGAAAGAAGGACAAATCCGAGTAGTGGACATCAAGACTAATACGGGAGTATTTAGACGACCTGTAATGAAGCTTTGTATACTAGATATCAACTTGAATCAGTTACAAACTAAATGTTAACCAGAATCAGTCACAAAGTTCTAATGACTAAGTTATAGAACCAAGTCTACAACTGGGAAGGAGTGTTACTGAGAATTTGGATTATTTTAATAGATATTTGTTATTTAATTTTGAGATATCTCCATATACAAAAAAACTGATAATATAAACAAAGTTTGTTGAAAAAGTTACTTTCGTCACATCTCTTCTTAATTAACAAACTACAAAATGCAGTCCAATCCATCTCAATTATACTGAATACAGTTACAACAAATTTTAATCGAAGACGTCCTACCTGCCTATATTTTATTGTCTCTAATAATAAATGATATGTTGCAATGTAAAAGTTCATTTATTCCAACAAATAAATACAACTTGTCAAATTAAGCTTCTTTTAAATGAAACACTACACAGGTGGACATTTTACTAGATGGGCTGAGAAGTTTCTAGGCTAACACATAGATGGCGCTGCTAGTATTAAATCCATGAAATTTTTAGTTAACCCAAACCTTCAAAAGACGATACACGCAGTAGACGCCCAAAAGAGGCTGTTACCGACAAAAGCATCAAAAAAATCCACAAAATAATTTTGAATTACCACAAAGTGTCACGCGAGCTCACAATCAACCAAAAATAAACAACAAATTGATGATTCTGAGAAGTTTTTGAAGCTGTTCCACAATAAAAACTCGAATAAATGCGTCGATGAATGAAACATGGCTCCATCATTTCACACCAGAATGAAAACGATTGTCATCTGAGTGGACTGCACGTGGTGGACCTCCTCCGAAGCGTGCAAAGATGGAACAGTTGGTTGGCAAGGTTATGGTATCAGTATCAGAGACTACTACATAGCGTTATTGGATCGTTTGAAGGACGAAATTACGGAAAAACGGCCCCATTTGAAAAAAAAAAGTTCTGTTTCATCAAGACAATGCACCGTGCCACAAATCAATGAAAATGGCGGCAAAATTGCATGAGTTGGGCTTCGAATTGCCTCCGCATCCACCGTATTCTTCAGATCTGGCCCCCAGCGACTTTTTCCTGAGAATGCTCGCTGGAAAGAAATTAAGCGCCGATGAAGAGGAAATCGTCGAAACTGAGGCCCTTTTTGAGATAAAACACAAATCATACTATAAAAATGGTTTCAAAAATTGTATGGCCTCTATCCATTCTATCGCGCTCGAAGGTAAATCATACTTACTGGCCACCGAGATCGTACAATTTGACCCTGTTAAACTATTTTTCGTGGGGTTTTCCTAACTCTCAGGTATATTCGAGTGAACTACCAACCAAAGCAGTCCTCAAAGCCAACATAATCCATGCCATCGGTCAAATTCAGCCAGATTTATGGGTCAGAGTCATGGAAAATTGGACATTTGAACGATATTGCATTCCACACATAATGGCATCAATAGGTCTTTCAAACGAATAAAACATTTCGTTGATATCTCACACATACTTTGTTTTATTTAAATTTGAAGATAGGAAGTGCTCAAAAGCTTTTGACAATGTCAATCATAAAACATTGCTAAATAAACTTGAGGCTTATGGAATCAGGGGAACCTCAGCTAACTTGATAGAATCATACTTATATAATAGAAAACAGTACGTGGTCGAAAAATGTCACATCACAAATGAGGTTATAAGGTCTGANCAAAATCTTTGAGAAAATGTTTAGAACCTGTTAACTACATCTGCTAAACAACAATCCCAAACTACCAGTTTCAATCCAGGCAAAGATCTATTAAACATCCACTTACTATTCTCATGAAAAACATTGAAACAACCAAGCTTAACAACTATGAAATAGTGGTGATTTTTCTGGATATCAATGAAGCCATCAATAGCATTCGTTAAAAGGGACTCTTATTCAAACTTCATGAATTGGTATACTAAACATCAGAAATTTTGTGGATTTAGAAACTTGTGTTTTTAACAATTCAAACATGCCACATCAGAAAATTAAGAGATAAAGTACTCAATAGACTCCCAGATGAATTTACTCCCAAGCAGGGAGTTTCACAGGGTTTGCCATTCTTACCACTGTTATACAATATATACAGCTCTGATATTTATTATTATTACCACTTATCGACCAACATATTGTACAATCCCTTTACAATATTAGAATAATAAAAGTTAAAGGAAAAAAGTCCTCTACAAAAATTGATAACTACAAATACAGTGGAAGAAAAACAAGTAAGATATTACAGTTTTCGCTTTACATTCCTAATTTGTTCTAAAATATTACAGAATAAATCACAAGAGTTACAAATTTTGTTAAAACACATTGTGATGATTGGTGATTTCTTAAGGACATTGTTTCTTGGTCAGAAATTACAGAAAGTTGAATTTTTTCTGCCTGTGAATTGCAGTACCTTAAAATTTAATTGGCTTAGTAGATCAGGACAGTCAATGGAATTATGAACCACTCCATGGAGGCATGAAATAGATGCTAAACATCTTCTAAACTCCAAGCTTTCAAAGTTCAATCAGTCCATCATCAACTGCTAATCTCTTTCCCCTGTGGATATATACCGACCTATTGATATGTGAAGCATAGTGAGAAAATATCAATCACCTCAGTCATAAAGCATATATTCTCCAGTATGCAGAAGACATCACTCTAATTGCCCACAACCAAACTCTGGACAAAGTGATAATTTCAACAGCAACGTCATTTATAAAAAAAAGAAAGCAATATCAAGCAAGAATCAGACATCACCAACCAGTTCAATCAATGAATAAGTTACATATTTTCTCATTCATATATGTGCCTTTTTTGAAGAATTGTAAATAAGTCTATGTAATTTCAAAGCAGTTTTGTAACAAGGACGAAGTATTATGGTCTAAAGTCTAAGGAAAATTTTAATTTTGTTCAATTAACTGCAACTATTATTAATATATGGGAAAAATAGTAGTGTTTCACAATATAAGATTATGTTAAGAAGGTTTCGTTTTCCGAGTTTTATTACTGAAAATAAGTTCCTGAAATAGTTGATTTTTCAACATTTGAATGGTGCTATCTCTGAAAGTAGACCAAAACTGATAGAATAATGTGAGCCTTTGGAACAAATAGTTAACCCACTAGAACTCTCATAGTTCTAAACAAGCAATTCAGCAACAATCCTTAGTATATAAGACTACAACAGTTCTCTGGAACTCAAGATCATGCTATATAAAAAAAAACTGGGATAAATAAAACAATTCTTACGTTAAACCGTTTTCCATCTTCAATATATTGTAGTGCCCAAGAATTATCATGTAACTGATCTTTGACTGTTGATGCAGGAATGGGCGGTAGAGCTGACCTTTGAGACTCAATTTCATGCATTTCTCTCATCAAATCTGTAAAGAAAAATATGTCTACCCAAATTATGATTTTGATTTGATAGAATACCATCCATCCTAAACGTTTGAGGTACAGCTCTGGATTCTTGTAGAAACTGTTCAACCAATTGGTCAGAGCTGCTTTGAAACACTTGTCCATGACTCTCAGAAAATGTATGATCATGGGTAATATGAGAAGTTAATCTCGACAAAGGATTTGCTTGACCACATTCAGCTTCTGTTAATGGTCTGAATGCCATTATATTTTTATTATTCACTAATATACACTTAAAAACTAATGAAAATTCGACCTTTTCTCCGTAGAACAACCTTATCAAAATATTACATGTGGAAGTATGGAACTGACTTTTGACTTGATTAATGATAAACACAAGACTAGCGACTACGCACTACGCATGCACACGACACACAACCACAAACTACTTATAGTAGGTGGTTTGTGCACACAACACGACAATGAACCAACTCTGGAATTTTCAAAGGCGAGTTCTTAAATTCGACAGAAAATTTCAAATAAATTACTAAAACAATAGATGGATGTATTTTGTGGATGTATCGTCTGTGTCATCGATGAATTAAGATATTGGGCAAGATCTTGAATTATTGGTCAGTCCATCAAGTGATCCGATGGATTCAGTTATTGATACATTAGAAACGTTATTGCGTTTCTGTTGGTTGAAACAATTCATTGGAATATTTCTATTTGACAACTGATTCTTTAAAAAGTGTCACGTAAAGGGGGCCGTGTACGAAGAAAAAAAAAAGCAAAAAGCCTTTCGTAGAAAAGGAGTGAAAAAACAGGGGTGGCAGCATTGTCTCGAGAAAGACTGCTGCGCTCCCACACGAAAACTTCTGTCAACTGTTGACAGGAGGATGCGCCCGAATGGGAAGCAAAGGCCATACGTGGCCATACAAAGGGAGAGAGAGAGAAAGAGAGAATTTGAAAACTCGCCTATTGGCAAGCGTATTGACACAAGCACCGTATCGGTGACACAAGTGTGACATATAACATTATAGCACAGTATTTATACTGTGATTATAGCGTTGAAGCTTTGACATGTTGGCAACATTTACTAGAATTATTTGTTTATCTATCGTCTATCAATTTTTCAACTTTGTGTAATCAAAAACAACTTTATTTTTGTTATTTCATGCTTTAAATAATTTATCACCATGGGATGCTGTGATTCTGAAGAAGATAAAACAGAGGAAATTACTGAACGGAAATGCACCGACGTTTTTTGGTTATGTTTATATATTTTATTTTGGTTTTTAATGGTAAATCATAAAAAATTCTGGTTAATGTGCAGTAAATGATTATTTTCTTCATTATAGGTGGTTATAGGTGCTTTTTCCCTGGTTTATGGCAACCCTCTGAGAATTATTAATGGATATGATTCTTTTGGTAATACTTGTGGTACAAAAAATAAGGCCATGGGAAATATGGCTCTTTCAGGAATCGACACAACTTTGAAACCCTATTTATTATTTTATGATGTACATCATCTGAAACAATCTCTGAAAATATGTGTTAAAGAATGTCCCAAAGAAACTCTGAAAACAGCACGGGATATAAATAAATATCACATGTCCGGTAATGACTTGTGTAGATATGATTTTAACTACAAAGATTTGGAAGATTCTACAGCAACTCCTCTAACCGCTCCATTTGGGCCATGCCCTAGTTTACCAATTTATAAAAGGTAATATTTGACTAGTTGTTGAAAGCATTTTTCAATAAGCAGTACAAGAGATTGTTAGTATCTACGATCGTCTTCGGGTGATGACTGTAATCACAAATGTTTATAATTTTTTGTGATTTCACTAAAGCTTTTGATTGCGTATACTTATTTTCATGAATTCAAAGGTCCCTGTATATATTGTTTTCAATCTTGCAAATCTCAGGTAGTTTGTTAGTACAACTTGTTTGTTTGAAGGTAGTTGACAGTAAAAAACTAAAAAAGTAAAGAGGTTAGCTGATTACAGATTCTTTCAGGTATTTCAAATAAATTCATATATTAGACAATGGAAGTCCGAAAAATGAAATGTACAACTTGTTTGTCATACATAATACATTGATGCCCTGGTACACTTGAATACATTTGGAAAATTTTCACTTTTCTTCGATGATACCACTATTTCTTAGAATGGACCTGACGAAATTATTATTCGTGACACTATACACTCTATATTGTGTTGGTAAAAAATTGTTCGACACAAATCTACTGGTGCTTAATATACATGTACTGACTTCATGGTAATTCTGTATCTTCATTGGGAAAAACAGCATACAATCTACCAGATGCTATGCTGTGTGAAGGATTGCCTAAGAGGTGGGATATAAGGCTGCTAAATCTATTATGCACTCATTGAGTTCCATTTACAATAAGGAATCACATTTTGTTGAGAATGCTTTAAGCAACTCATACAAAAAAGAGCTGTTAGGCACTTTTTTTCTTACAAACTGCCTACCTGGTTCATAGTAATCAAGAAAGATAGCAATACCCTGTATGTGTATACAATATTAGATCTTATCAAAGTCTGAAACTGCCATTACCAACCAACAGTATGAAAATAAATAATTTCGTATTATTCAGGATAATACTTGAAGATTTTCCTATTATAGTCTATACGAAGTCAATCCGAAAAGCTAAATAAAAAATTATTGGCATTACTTTTCACTACTGATAAAAAAATCCGTGTGGGTTTATAAAAAAAAATTACACCATATTGTATTATACCAACATTCAGGGTGGGCCATCGAAAACTTGACATGGAGGTTTTGGGTACTAATCTTGCAAATCCTAAAAAAATGCTCAAACAGGTCGATTTTTATTGGGAGGGGGACATTATTTTTCCCCCAGCATCGTCACTTGAACCCCGGAGCAGAGGGGTGTGAACAACCCTTGGAATTTTAATAGGGAACTGGAAAAGAGTCGCACATCGTTTGAAAGATCGTGGAATTCTCTAAACAACGGTGTACATTTTTTTTAAATTTGGACGAATGATAATCAATTTAGAGTTGAAGTTACTTACTTTATTCTCATGTTAGCATATACTCAAAATGGGCACCTCCAGCTTCCATGCAATAATAGAGATTCTGCTGGAAACGTTCTCGAACATTGTGGAGCATTTCTGAAGCGATTTGGCGACATTCATTTGTGATTCATTGCTGTTTATCTTCAAGTGATGCAGGAGGAGTACAGTAAATTCTGCTTTTCAAATGACCCCACAGAAAGAAATCTAACGGCGAAAGGTCTGGTGATTGTGGTGGCCATTCGATAGTGCCCTACCTCCCAATCCAGTGATCCAGAAAAGTCTGATCTAAATACTGCTGAACAGGCAGAGCATAGTGCGGAGGAGCCCCATCCTGTTGAAATATTAACAGATCCGATAATTACATTAGTACGGTTAAATTGCCTTCCAAAAACAATGGGCCAACAATAGGTTATCAAAAATACCAGCCCATTCATTTAATTTTTGTGGACGTTGAGGACGTGAGGATTTGAACCAGCACAATAGCGACAATTATGGCGATTAACTGTGCCATTTAGAAAAAAACATTCATCACTGAAGCAAATGTTGAAAACAAAATGTGAATTTTCAACCGCTCGTTCACTAACCAACTCGCAAAATTGCAAGCGTCGATCGAAATCATCTTCATTCAGTTCTTGCGTTAATTTAATCTTGTAAGGATGCATTTTGTGGGTTTTCAAAATACGCCGAATGCTAGTTCGTGACACCCCGGAAACAAATGCTAACTTTCTTGTGCTCAAAGCATAGTCAAGTTCCACATGGCCCAAAATTACCACTTGTATCGCCTCATTTGTTACTGGTGGTTCAGTTTGCCATTTTTTATTTGCTACTGATCCAGTTACGCGAAATTTTGCAATTAAATCGAAAACATAATGTAGATATCACTTTTAACATAAAAATGAGAAATAGAAACAGCATTTTTAACCATTTCTCAATTCTAATAGTCCTCTTATCAAAGAAGAACTAAAAAATTAACAAAAAAGTAGCGTAAAAAAAATGAAAGAGTTCCAAATACATTCCAACTGAGCAGTGACGTACAACAATTTGTTGCTATTGACAATATTGACAAAGTTAATTACCGGAAAGAACTCTTTTAAATACGTCCAAATTGAAAAAAATGTACACCATTGTTTAGAGAATTCCAAGATCTTTCAAACGATGTGCGACTCGACCCCTATTCCCTATTAAAATTACAAGGGTTGTTCATCCCTCTGCTCCGGGGTTGAAGTGACGACGCTGCAAATGGGGAAAAAACTATCCCCCTTACAACAAAAATCGACCTGTCTGAGTGTTTTTTCGGATTTGCAAGATTAGTACCCAAAACCTCTATGTCAAGTTTTCGATGGCCCACCCTGTATAATGAAACTGATAACGTTTGGTAATTATTTAGTTTTTATGTCATACGAATTGACATTGTATATAATATACCAACCCAACATATAACACATAAGAGTTATATTATACCTAATACCTAATTATATGTTACTATGCCTAGCAAAACTTGTACTGAATATCATATTTTGATCATAATTAATGAAATTGCAATGTGGTTTTAGCAAATTTAAATGTGTTTTCATGTTTTATATTTTTAGTGTCTTATGCATTTTCATTTCATAGACTTTGTCAATAGTAAAACTAGGACCATAAAGTATATTTTTATTGATTGATTGCTACTCATATATTTTTCAGTTCACCAGTTTTGAATCGGTGCGTTCCATCCCAAATATCAGAAGCTACGAAAGCAGCATTGACCAATTTTTATGTGTTATTCAATAGTTGGGATGCAGTTGAACAAATATTGGGTGATTTATATAAGACTTGGAAAGAAATTTTGGGGTTAACATTTTTATCACTAGGTATGTTTCAATTTCATATAATGAAATGTATAACAGTCATTCAAATTCTTTACAGTTGTGTCGCTTCTCACTATCACCATGTTACACTGCCTTGCCCATCTGGTGTCATATTTTATAATGATCGGTTTTTCTGTAGCTGGTATAGCAGGTACGGCTTTTTTGTGGTATACCTATTTTGACATCAAGTATCACTTGGATAAAACCAGCAAGTTTATGCTGCTTTCCGAATCAGTCAGAAATGAAACAGCCTTTTTTTGGTTTTCAATAATTGCTACTATAATTACGGTAAGTAAAATGTTTTGCATGTTTCATGATATCAAGTATAGTGGGTTAAGCTAAAAAATGTGTCTACAGTCTACAGAGTCTAAACGGGTCTAAGTTACGATCATTAGAGAAGTAAGAGACGAGGTCATTTCTTATAAAAAAGTTCATGTAACATATTCCTCACTGTTTTCGAGTAATTTGTATTGTGATATTTCACAATAAAACCTTGTTTTTGTTACAATAAACCTTTATAAAAAAAAACCTAAGGACCTTTATAATTTGGCAATAATAATTGGGATAGAAAGGTTTTAGCTTTCTACTTCTTCTTCCAAACGATTCATTTCAAAACGAGCTCTTTACAAAAATGTGTAGATCTTGCATAGAAGTTACAGTCAGACATAAACTGGCAGAAAAAGTCTTCTCGAAACAATTACTTTCGTATAAACATAAACAGCTACTTTTATAAGAACATTGAATTGTACAAAAAAAATCTTTCCTATTAAGTTTGAACTCCGAATATTTCTTATGGAATTGTATTGTCAAAATAAAATACTAACTGTTGCCTATATGTTCATTCTGAACACATTGACGTATATCCATGAGAATAGGAGGCAACTAGAGTTGAGATTGGAAGTCTATAATTATCATACTAGAAATAACCATATGCTCATCACCCAAAAACACCACCATGCAAAGTATTAGTCTCCTATGTTTGCTGGTATTCGTCTTTTTAATATACTGCCATGTGATATGAAGACACTTTCACATCAAGTTTTTAAAAAACAGCTAAAAGTGTATCTGTCAGAAAAATATTTCAACACAGTAGATGAATTTATACTTGATGCCAGATCGCTTTCATTGTGACGTATGCTGCTTGTGAAGTATCTGTCTTATTATATATCATTCACAGGATTGCTATACAAAATATTATATGAAAGATATAAAATTTCACTTACATGGAACACTGTCATCCTCAATAGCGGACATCCTATTAAATGTTCAGCACCAATCTGAGTCAATGTCAATCTTATTATTTTTTTTTTATTTCGCAGATAAGTAAGTGTATGAAAATAAAAGGCGAATTGATCGTTACACTGTGTCACAAAAAAGCAAAGAATTGAACTGAAATTAATGTTTTATTATAAATGCAAAATACTAATGTTACATCTTTATGTAACTTTGGTCTTTGTTTCAGATCATTATTCTCCTAATTATTTTTTTTATGCGGAAACAAGTGGATTTTCTGGCAAATTTATTTAAGGAAACATCCAAATGCCTGATGCATCTTCCTGCACTATTCTTCCAACCAATTCTTACATTCATTGTGCTTGTATTATTCTTCATGTTTTGGATTTTTATAGTGGTAAGTTAATTAAACTGTAAGGAAATGAGAACATTTATTGTAACTATTATTTTTTAATTTCAGTTGTGTTTAGCTACTGCGTCATACCCTGAAAAAAGCCACGTTATGCCAGCTCTAACAAATTCCAGTTCTGATTTGTCAACTTCTATATTTTCTACCGAAAATCCCAAAGATATGAATGAAGACTCCATAGCAGACAAGATAAAAAGTAAATTTGTATGTTCAAATAAACCCTTTTTCTTAATCTCCCAATCAACTGTCCTAATTCTAAAAACTTCAGAGTTGTTTTAATCGTTGAGCTGTTTTTTTTTTCAAATTGAAACTTGAAATTAGATACTTTTACCTAATGAATTTGGTGAGTGATCTTCCCACCGCAATACCATTTGCAAAAAGACCTTTAAAGTCCAAAATCTGTTTGATTACTCTTCTGGTATTATTAGAAACAGGCTAAGCTTAATAATTATGGTTGAGAGATGACTACATGTGGACCTGATGTACATTTACAAAATACATCAAGATTAGATTCAGCCTCTTGTTATCATTGACAATAAACACACAGTTATGAACTTGTGTGTGAAAATTTACAAAAGCTGAGCAGTCAGCAAATTTGGTCAAGTTTATGGAAAAGAGAGTCTATGGTATACTAGCGCAATGTTATGTACAGCTTGTCAAATCTAGGAACAGATTTGAGAATTCTCACAATCTACCCGTTCTCTGATAGAGTATGCAATATTCGTCCAAATGATGCAATCACGTAAATTAGAGGCTCTGAATTCTGACTAATTTCATTTTCTAGATATATGTCTCACAAAATAATGTCGGAATATTGTGACACGTGGGGTTGCTGTTCCTCTGAACGTTTTCAAAACTTCATCTACACTCTCACTTGGCTTGCCCAAGAATGATTTCAAGTTCATCGATGTATAAACTTCGACTGGCTCGTAATGCTTGTTTTCTTCGATTTTGTCTCTGGCTCAATGGTTTCACAATTTTTCACACCGGATATCCAGCATTTCCACCAATTTGTGAAACGAGGTTATTTAGGTAGCAAAAAACTGAAGTGACAAGAATTGTCTTCAAGTTCCTCCTAAAAGATAGTAAAGTGACATATTCTGTTGAACTTTTAGGTAGCTTGTTGTACAACCACCACCTAGACCTCTCCAGGAGTTTCCTGAGATGAAATCTTCCCCACACTGTTACTCTGGCAAAAGCTAAAATACCTTCTACCAATCCCTCACTTCCGAGAGGTCCTCATCCTGCTGCTTGGCACCTCAGCAAGATTAAAATCTAACCTCTTGTGATCGGAAGTCAGCATTTAGTGCTTTTACCCCCTTATATTGAATCATTTGTAAAACCTCACTCTACTGTATGTAGTGTGAGAATGGTGGTTTCCTTTACCTAGCTAGAGACGAATTGTTGTACAATATTTTCACTCCATTATATATATGAGTTCTTGATTTGACTACTTGTTGGGATAGGAACCTTTAATTGGCAAGTCTGTCTGGTATTGTGGTGAGGATGATAACTATAGGTACGTTTGTTCTTGTGTATGGAGGCATGCCAGTATAACTGCCTTTTGCCTACATTGCTTTTGGCTTGAGCCGTGGCTTTTCTCCTTCCTCCGCATGTCGACAATCCTGCTAACTTATGGTAGTACCACCGCCGTTGATTGTGTTCTCTATAATGTATTCTTGAGGGTGATTTGCGACAATATTAAAGGTTATCAAACTGTCATGTATGAAGACAGATTATATTCATTTAGTAACAAAGGCCAAAAGTTGATTTTCAGACAAGTCATTATATTTCTTATTTTCAATATTTTCTTTGATAGATACTTAATTCTCAATTAGATTAGGTTTTATACTTGTAATGAATGAAGATTCGAATAGATACAGTCTATTGATTACAGATTAAGTGGGTCAAATTAATGAATGTCTTCATTTATTGAAGGTTGAAGTCTGTTTTTACTTTTGTCATTCAATTTGATCATTATTGAATATATGATCAAAAATATTCATTGATACTGAAATGGTGCAATATAATATGATAATGTTAATGATGATGAAAATATTGAACCAAACTTTGAAAAAATATTAATGTCTTTTTCTTGCGGGAACTCTGACTTTTTTTGTAACTTACCAATATTATCATTTTTTTATGAGGAATTTCACTGTCTAATATATAAAATGATTTGAAATCCCTGAACCAACTTAAAAAAGAAGAATTAAAACTGAAAAGCTGGAAATAACAATTATATTAAGCAAAAACCTGAAATGAAATAACAGTAAAATAAAATACAAGTGTGAATAGAAATAAAAATAAAAAGTTAAGAGATTCCAAGCCAAGTTAGTTCCCGACGTTTCGATTGCTAGTATCTACAATCGTCTTCGGGTGACGACTGGATTGATTCCTCCGAGAGATGACTAGTTATGGGTCGATCGAGTACTTTCACTTATCCCCGCTTTCCATTTTTTCCGCTTCACTGGTTAAGTGGGAGATGACCATTTGGCGAGAGTTGGCCATTTTTCGCTTGATTATAGGTTTCCATTTATTGCGTATCTCTAGGCTGGCTTGGCTGAATACATTGTTGGACAACATGTTGGACAACCAATTCTTCTTACATCAGAACCTGCTTCAGATCCGGTAACATTTTCCGTAGCAGCCTCACGAAAACCAGGCCACCAAATGCGAACTGCGATTCCAAGAATTGCATTTACCGGATACTCTGTGAGTGCGAAAAATCCTATATTGGTGAAACTAAGAGGCCATTATTTTTTATGAGGCTGTTGTATCTGTAATAAAATTTACTTTACAGTAACTGTTGTTGAATACATTGATGCATCTTGGGTAAAAGCAATGTGGTGGGTGTACATCATTGGTTTGATATGGACATCAGAGTTTATCATGGCATGTCAGCAGATGGTTATAGCTGGATCAGTAGCTCACTGGTTTTACAGACATAAATATAAAGATAATGGACATCTCTGTTACGCCACTAGAAAACTCATCAATTATCATCTTGGCTCTGTGGCGCTTGGATCCTTAGTCATTACTATTTTCAAAATACCAAGGTTAATTTTAATGTATCTTCATGAAAAGTGAGTATGACTCAAACGTGATGAACCTTCCATTAAACAATATTTGCTTTTAGATGGAAGATTGGGAAAGATAAGGGAAGTGAATGTGCATCTTGTGGGTTGAAATGTTGCATCTGCTGTTTTTATTGTCTAGAAAAGTTCATCAGATACCTTAATCACAATGCATATACAGTTATTGCAATAGATGGCTCAAATTTTTGTAAAGCTGCAGGAACGGTTAGTATTCATCACTAATTTTCTATTTAATTTTGCCTTATTATGAGTTGTGCACCATGAAAATTTCAATTCAGAATTCACAGTTTTCAAAATTTAATTAGAATATGTGAAAGGGAAAATGAAAATTTTGAATGTTTATTTTTCCTGGTTAAAACTGTTACAATTATAAATCATCAAATACATACAGATTTTATTCACCTGAATAACTTGTTAAAGTCCTAGATCTGATTCATCTGTTCTATGTCTTGGAAATATAATGAATGAATAAAAAACATTGTTAATGTCTGTGATCAAAGTTGAGGGTTTTCAATAGTGTCTCAGTTTCGGCCGAAACTTCCTTAAAAGGATTATGTTTTGATGGAAAAATAAAGAAAACGTTATAACAATCAGTCAGTCTTCAGTTTTTTATTTTTAAATCACAACAATATGCAGTCTTCGACATGTTTACTTATTGATAATCAACATAACAAACCCTTATTTAAGAAATAATATTAATTGCAACTTGAAAATACTTAAAATAGGTGAGGTGTTTATTTGAGTATGTGTAAATCCTTCTTTTGAATATTATTGATGGTTTTTTCAAAAATATTAAACATAAAATTACTTATTTAGGTTGTTACCTAATATCACAATAGGTACTTAATATTTATGTAATAAACAAAGTAAGTCACGACATGATTAGGTACGTGGACGCGGCAAAATGTCTTCGTCGCTTGTATGAAATTCAATGTGGCGAACATGACCGATTACAGCGCGGGAACTCCCGAATGCAGTTTCGGTTTCGGTCGTAGTTTCGGCAGGTTTGCCGCCGAAACCGAAATTTAACCGAAACCCGTTTTTTTGCCGAAACTCGATCGAAACCGAACTTTCGGTCAGACACTTATTTTCAATATTAGAAACTGTAAAAAGATGAAATAGAACTTCTATTCAGAAGCATAGTATTGTTGAGATTATCTATATTTTTGTATAACGTTCATATATTTACTATATAGCAGAATAAAATAGGTTTTTGAGATATTTTGCTATTGAGATCAATTTTCAAACTGCAAATCTTAATTAGGGTTGGTATATCAGAAATGAAATTAGTGAATTTTAATATTTTGTTCTGGACAATATTCCAGTTGTTGGAAATGCTGGCCATATCAAATTCAAATTTAGAATTACACTTGGTTATTATTTTTTATATTAAGAAACAAAGATTGAATCAAATAAGGACAATCCTACTGAAGACATTAATACCAAATAATAACAAAGAATACAATCTATAACTATTGATTTGGGCAATTGTGAAATAATTTCTGATATGACTTTGATACCAAATGGCCTAAACACATTTCATATCAAAAATATAATAAATATAACTGATGGAATTGACAATTTTTGTCATAGTTTTGCTATAACTAAAAAAAATAACTGAAAATAAATTGTCCAACTTTAGTCTTATCAATATGGTAGATCTAGAAAGAATTGTTGGCTCTTTGAAAAGTAAAAGTAGTCCCCATGAAACTTTGTTGTGTTGTGCAATTTTTGTCATAGTTTTGCTATAACTAAAAAAAATAACTGAAAATAAATTGTCCAACTTTAGTCTTCTCAATATGGTAGATCTAGAAAGAATTGTTGGCTCTTTGAAAAGTAAAAGTAGTCCCCATGAAATTGTGTAGGACTTCTGAAGAAATGTTTTAGTGCCATGTAATCCATTGTTGAACATTATCAACAGTTCTCTAGAGAGAGGGGAAGTACCAACTGAATTAAAATTATCTACTATTATACTTATACCAAAAGGGCCAAATACAAACCATTTGGTATTAAGTATTTGGAGAGTAATAGGGTCCTATGTGAGTATCAATCGGGTTTTCGGAGTAAACATAGTAGTAAAACTGCGTTACAATGTGTTTTAACAGATTGGAAGAAAAGTGCGGGAAAGGATCAGTATACTATTGTAGTATTTCTTGGCCTTCAAAGGGCATTTGAAACTGTAGACTGATTAGAAAGATTAAAAGCGTTATTATTGATGGAATCATGAATTATCTAAGCAATAGACAGCAAAGTTTGAAACTAGATGAAGTTTNATAGTTATATATTTGTGAAAATATGATGGAAGAAGATTATGCAACATTTTGAAGATATAACTCATAGTTAAATAAATAAGTCTATTTTCTATTGACAGCCATTGTAATGTTCCCAACATCAATGATATTGGTGTATATCTGTTACATCTCAAAGTGATTCTCATTGCACGATTTTGAAGTTTTTGTAGTGATCTCATTTTATTGAGGTCAAAACCATACAATAAGGTCGGGCAATATTCGAAGTGAGGTTTGATAATTGTATTATATACGGTAATTCTTGAGCTCATACTCAAATGCTGAGATACCCTCGAAAAAAAATATAGTTTTTTGAGTATTTTTTTCTGAATATAATTGAAATGACCATTCAACGTTAAGTGGTTGTCAAGCATAAACCCTAAATATTTAAACTCTTGAACTAATTCAATTGTATTATTTTCTATTTTGATGTGAATTTCATTTATATCAAATTGTCTGTATTTAAATGGTGTGGCAATTATCATCCCCTTTGTTTTGTCTACATTCAGTTTCAATTTATTCATTTTGAGGTATTCTGTTATTCTATTTAAAGAATTATTCATCTTTTGTACGGCATTATTCAAATCTCTATCAGTTACTGATATTAACGTGTCATCTGCGAACAAGTGTATATAGTCACATTCATTGTAATGCTTTATGTCATTTATGTATAGAAGAAACAATAGCGGACCCAAAATGCTTCCTTGTGGAACTCCATGTTGCACTTCCAATGGAGCTGACAATGAATTACCAACTTTTGTTTGTTGTTGTCTACCTGTTAAATAGTTGTTAATCCAATCAAGTACTTTTCCCCTTATGCCGTAGAGTTTCAGTTTTTTTAGGAGTATATTATGGTTAATGGTTTCAAATGCTCGCCTCAAATCCAAAGTGATGTACGAAATTCAATTATTCAACTTGACAATATGACAACTAGGATACCGTTTTTTCTAAACTGAGAAAAATGACCCATTGGTGTTCCTATCAATTTTCTTTATAGTTTTTCAATTAATAATTCGAGGGTAGGAATCCAATATTTTCCATAAATGTTTTTCTTATTTGTCTCTACAAATTTGTATTTTGTACAATATTAGCAAACCGTCCCTGCAATGCTGATACTGAATATACATATAAACGCGAGCCATCACTACTAATCCTAAAGTGCTATAGGGTGAAGCGCGGCATTCGACGCACTATTTATAGACATGCACCGACGGTCCCCTGGCCGATACCGCCGCAACCGCTAATGTCCCTGCATTTTAAATCTGTAATATTGTCGAAAATATTCATTTAAATTACATGCTGTAAAGGGCCATATTGATCTATATTAAATGCACAATGTATTTAAGGTATTCATTTGGATAAGGATTAACGCTATATTGCTTAAAATCGCTTCGCAAACAAGCTATTAATAAAAAATGGGTATTGTGGGTTATCCCTAAGAGGTATACATATACCATCAAGGACTTTTTGTAGACCTTTTTAAGGTGTACAATACTATAGTACATTATTTTGATCTATCTCGTAGGGTTCAGCCAAGGTGCAATGTAAGCGCAAAAAAAAGGGAAATTATAAGCTTATATCGTCATAGTTACGCTAACAGTAAAGAGGTTCATAACTCCCTTGGGACATTATAGATTTTATAATTCCCTCTACCTTTCACAAGGTATTGATACTATGAACGCTAGTCTTGTAAGGGTGTATAGATATTTCTCTACAAATCTGCTAAAGGTGAACGTCAATAAAACAAAATGGATGTNTTAGAAACCTCTAAAATTATCAATGTTTCTCTACTATATTATGCATGTTATACAAATATAAACCTTCCTCTTGAATATATCTATTGAACAACCCCGCATCAAATTCCGTTGGGTAGTTTTAAAGATCTAAGGATACATAAGTACAGACAGCGGGAAGCGATTTTGTTTTATACTATGTATTGATATGTTTTTTGTAACTGCATATTTACATATTGTTTTCAGGCATTCGAGGTTTTGACATCACATGCCCTGCAAGTGGCGACAATAAATAGTTTAGGTGATTTTATCCTATTCTTGGGCAAGTGCTTTGTTACAGCTTTAACCGGATCTGTCGGTTTGGCTTTATTCAGGCGAAATTCGGATTTGAAGTTTTATGCTGCCCCCACACTATTGGTTTGCATTTTCGCCTTCTTTGTGGCCCACTGCATACTATCCTTATATGAGGTGAGTTAAAGCCAAATTAACAATAAAATTCGTCGATATTTTTTCACGTGTACTAAAATTTTAAAAAACTACATTTCAGATGGTTCTTGATACTGTTTACTTATGCATGTGTCAAAACGGGGAAGCTCCAGAAGGAATAGAAGTGCAGAATCTTGGAATCACTAATAACGGCAACGCAGCCCATACGGAAAATGTTGAACTAGAACATTTAGATAGGTAGATGTTAAACATGCTGCTCAAAATCTAATATCAACTAAAGTTGAAGAGGAATCAACATTATATGCTTTGAGAACTAACATTCAGATAAAAAGGGAGGTGAATTTTTTTAGACAGTTGTTTCAAACAATTGGAATATATTCAATACTTTTGTGATGTCACAATTCAATCGAAAAAGCTATTCCAATGGGTATTTTCATTGTTTTTTTGCATTGAATTTTTTGTTCATGCGGAGAGTTGGTAAAGTGTTTTGAATATATGGTTTTCGGCCTCGTAATCCTCAAATGTCCTGTCGGTCAGACATTTCTATTGCTGATGTTATCTACCTATTGTGTGATCACCGTATGTTGTTTTCATCACTATTTATAATGTTTTTGAGTTGAAAATACTGGCTTTTTGACATTGGGTAATCTTATCAAGAAATTAGAAAAAGACAGGCACTACAACAAACACGATGCAGTTTTTAAGGAATGACCATTAGAAGACATCAATAAGGAAATTTATGAAAATAAGGATTATGCTGGAGCTCATTATCTTCTGACATGCTGATTAACGGAAAAACAGATTTTAAACAGAAGAACAGAAGAAACAGCCTGTTTTTGATGTTTCAGTAAAGCTGAAAAACCATCCTTCAACAAAGCAGTTTCCGATATTAAGATTTAAATAATAATATTACACTTAGGGGTTACAACAAAAATGGAGGTGAAATTATGTCCTTGTTAGCAGTGATTGAGCACCATCTGAACAGAGGAAAAGAAAAAAATGCATCATTACAATAACTCAATATTTAACAAACGAAAGAAGAGCTTGTACGTACAACATTGTGTTGTGTCATTATTGCAAAAATTTAAATTGAGAAGATGGGAGTATACGTATACCCTTTTGACAGAAGATGAAAAATATGATTATTTTTTACAATTCCTCAGACTTATATAAAACAGAAAGCAGGGCACACTAAAAATCTTTGAAGGTTTGAAAAATCTCAGTCTCACAACAGTATTGAAGAAATTTTTATAAGAGGTAAATCCTATTTTTTATTCGATAGGTTTTGTGTGTCCAATGCTATATATGCTCGAGAAATCTCCTTCAAAAATCTCAGAGTTTTGAAATTGGGTGGAATTCGGAAGTTCCAGATAGAATGAAACAGAAATTCTTGTCATGCTGTCAGAGATAAACGTACATGTCAGTCTCAAAATTCCTTGATGGTTATTTCAAGAATCACCTGAAAACATCTCCAACTGCAGTTTTCTCCTCTTCAGTGATGCTAGTAAAGATGCTTATAGTGTAGCATGCCTTAACAGTAACAACTCATCCAAACTATACTTATACATATAACTGTTTCAAGCCAAGATCAGTTTCTGTGCCTTAAAAACCTTGTCCATTCCACGCTCAGAACTATTGGCAGCAGCGGCGGCTCGTCAGAGGAGGCAAGGGAGGCTTAGCCTCCCCATAAAATTTGAGGCTATTCATTGCAATAAATTAAAAGATATTGACAAATAATTATGATTATTATTTTCTAAAAATGCTTGGGTATCATTACTTTACCATTAATTTTAAATATAAATACATCATATGCCCGAAAAAACACTATCACTCACTACGTAGTAAGTACCACACTGTATCCTGCATCAACAAACGTCAAACGCACCGCCCATAACCGAATAACGAATAAACCAACAACCCGAAATAATAAATGCCATACGTTGCAAGGGAGCCAAGCCTCCGACCGCTTTAAAAAACACAAGCTCCGCGAGACCGATTCAATCAGCGACATATGTCCCGATTTGTAATTTCAGTTGCGGAAATTTTAGCGTTAGAGGAGGCTAGCCTCCAGTTGGTCTCCGTTAGTGTAAGACTGCGTTTGTTTTTTATTTAATTATTCGAACGGGATGCCGTGACCGAGACCGGGACTGAAAAATATTTCGGTAAATCGTTTTAGTGTTTCTTTATAATATTTATTATTTGTGTATAAAACAGGCAGTATTGTATTATAGCAGTGCTTTTTGGTAATATTTTTAATGTGTTTGTTTTCTTTCAATTTCAAGGTGTTTTTAGGTTTTCACTTTTCGGTAAGTTTTTTTTTTCCATTTATTATGGATAAAATATCTGACGATATAGTCGATTGGTTGCTGACAAATAATTTCAAGTCTTTATCTTATGATAATAAATTTTACATCATTAAAACTCTGCGAAGTCCTCAACCAAATTTGATTTCAATTAAGGCGTTAGATAATCGACAAAATCAAGGATTTAATATTAGTTGGTACAATAAATGCGATTGGTTAACCGGCTCCATTAAACAAGAAAAATTTTTTTGTTGGTCCTGTGTCTTATTTTCCGTTCAAACCGAATACCAAACGTGGTCTAAAACAGGATACTCCGATTTAAAAAATTTACCTCATTCTACAGAAAGACATTTTAAACCTAAGGAGCATATATTTTCGTCTTGTAAATTAAAATTGTTTAGCAAACAAAATATAGCAACAGCTTTAGATACAGCTCAAAAAGAGGCCATAATTTATTTGAATAATCAGGTTAGGGAAAATCGGCCGAATTTAAAAAGGCTTATCGATATTACGATTTATTTGGGTTCCCAAGAATTAGCTTTTCGCGGACACGATGAAACCGAAGATTCGATTAATCGCGGCAATTACAAGGAACTTTTAATGTTTTGGGGCAAATATGATTCACAATTTGGCACTTTTTTAAACAGTAGCATTTTTTCGGGCACCTCAAAAACCATCCAAAATGAGCTTATAGACAGTGTGGCATATATTAAGGAAAATATAAGCAAGGAGATTGAAAGTATTTTTTTTGCATGGGAAATGGATCAAACTACCGATATTACCTCACAACTTACATCGTTTACACACACAACTGTACATCTCAACTTTCAATCGTTTTTAGATATGTCCAAGATGGTAATGTGGTAGAACGTTTTATGGGATTTCATGATGTTTCATCTGGGCGCACAGCTGACGATTTATTTAATTTTTTAATTCGTACGTGTGACACCTATACTTTTAGGAAAAAGTTAATCGCGCAAACCTACGATGGGGCTGCGGTCATGGCCGGCCATTTAAATGGTTTACAAATTGAAATAAAGTCCATAGCTTCTCATGCACTTTTTACGCATTGTCATGCCCATGCCCAAAATTTAGTATTAAGCAAAGCGTGCAACAACATAAAATATTGCCGCGTATTTTTTTCATGTTTGTTTGGATTTTCGGCATTCTTTTCAAAATCTACCAAAAGAACCCAAGTTTTAAATGAAATATGTGGTAGCCGAATGCCAACTTTTGCTGCTACGCATTGGAATTCTACATCTAGAGCAGTAATTTCAGTGCATTAAAACAAAGACAAATTGATTGATGTCTTTGATTTTATCCTAAAGAGTGACGATTTTAAAACCGACGACCAAAGTCTTAGGGAGGCGAGAGGTTTCAAATCTATTTTAAATGATCACGAGTTTTTTTTTCTTGTTAGAAATATTTAAATTAATATTTGAACATACCGACGTTGTTTTTTCTATTCTTCAAAATAAATCAACAGATATTAATTACTCAATACAACGGTTAAAGAATTTAACAGAAATTTTGATGAATTTTAGAAATAACGATACATTTTTTAATAATATTTTCGAATCAATTGATTTAACTCTCGAACCGCCGGCGCCGACAAAAAGAAAAACCAATTTAGACTTACCCGATTTGAGACAAAATTATAAACATATAATGAATTATTGGACACCTTTTTAATGCGAATTAGAGTTAGATTTGAAGATTTACTTAAACTACTTTGATTTGTTGTTGTTTGAAAAATTTTCGTCCTATACCAAAGATTTTCTCCAAAAACTTTATAACGACTTAATAGCTCAGTATCCATTTTTCGATGTTATTCTACTGAAAAATGAATTAATCGTAATGTACAGCGACCCTCAAATGTTTCAAAATTGCAAGTCTCCTTCAAATTTATTAAATTTTATGTTGAAAAATGAAAAATTAATAATGGTTTATATTAAATAACTCAAAGACAATCCTTTTTCCTTGTTTTTGTTTTTTTACCGGTCAGTTTTATACGTATAATTTTCGGCAATTCACAATTTTTGTTTGCATTTATGCAAATATTACGTATTTTGCTTTAAATAGATGCGGTACCACAAAAAAATTTCGCGCCTTCGGCGAGCTTTTCTGTGTGTATATAGTTTTTATGACTTAGCCTCCCCTGTTCTCCAATGCACGAGCCGTCACTGATTGGTAGTTATAATTAGAGCATGATGATATCATCAATATTGAAATTCTTTGAAGTAGAAACAAATTGTTGCTGGTCGGATTACACTACTGTATTTTCTTGGATCAAGCAAAAGAAGGGAAACTTTTGTCTGGAACAAGGTTCACTAAATATGCACATTAACTGGTTCCATGTACCCGAAAAAAGCAATCCTGAAGATTTACCGTCATTAGGATGTTCCCCAAAACAGGTTCTGCAGTCTTGGTGGTGGGAGGGACCAAAAGGTCTTTATGAGAGTGCCTCTCGATGACCAGAACAAAGACCATCTAGTGGATGAAGAGTCTGTTTGGATGGAAAAATTTGTTAATGGAACAGATAAGTCACACATGTTTATACAGATATTTTTCCAAGTATTCAAAAACTTTAAATATGGTTGGATGAATTGGGCATTTTATACGTAATTGCGGATATAAACTGATTAAAAAGTCAGGCCAATTTGAAGTGGATAACATCAAAAAAGCAGAACAAACAGAGACAAAACTTGTTCAAAGATGTTCAAGATGCAAAACTCGAATCATTAGCATTCGAGGATAAGTTTTGTATCCCTAGACTACGAACAAAAATAACAGCACGAGATGATTCTCACGATTTTTGCTCAACGATGATTTTATCATAAAAGCACCTCGTAGTGAACCTCATATCTCATTAGTTTCAAGTTTAGTGAAAATCTCACAATTTGTTGTGAGATTTTCACTAAACGGTTATGCAAAAACGCGACACAATAAAGTGTTTTTTTAAGTACTTTATGAATTTTCATCAAGTATCGGCCGATAAAAAAAATGACATCATAAACTTTGGATTATTAGTCGAAAAAAATCGATAAGATCAGTAATCTTAAAGTGTGTAAGATGCCCGAAGAACAATATGCCACATTTAGTAGCCCCCATCTCCTGGTTTTTGAAGATATTGTATTTTCATTAGCCCATCCATTTTATATAAAATGAAATAGTAAAGTTTATATAAGCATTTTTACATGCCCTGAATACTAATCTGTCCATCTTGAGCTACTTACTTTCATGTCTATCAAAAGTTATTTGCAAGCTTCATGAAGATTCATAGTCAAAAAAAGCAGGCCTTGTGTGATGTACGGCGATAATTGAAAATATTTTGTGGGTGCAAACATGCGTTTTCCAATTTGAACTGGAACACAATAAAGTTACAGTAGGTTCATTAGAAACCAGTCTTGGATGAAATAGATGTAAAAGAATCCCAGAAGAGGGGTATAAGTAAAAAAAACAGAGATGCAATTTGAAACACATCCAGTCACATCCACTTCAATAAACTCATTTTGATATGGTCAGACATTTGCTTTCGAAGATTTATTTAAACTAGATGTCTAAAAAAATTCAACTTCTTTGTATAGCATGGTATAAAATACATCTGTGCTTGATGGGTGTTGAAATTAAAATACCCGTCTAGGTACTATTCAAAACATGGTTATAAATGAATTTTATTACTTCGGACTTCCATTGTATAATATCATATAAATTGCAGTTTTTTTGCTTAGTATAATTGTTATTTTTCAGCTAATTTCTTTTTCATTTTTTACAGAGTTTTTCAGGTATTTCAAATCAATTTATATCATATTGGACAATGGAAGTCCGAACTAATGAAATGCACCAAGAAACATCAACTACCTTCAAACAAACATGATTAATGATTATAAATAATTTTTTTATTTCACTAAAGGTGAAATCATTGATGAGAAAACTTTTTGAATTTTTTTCCACTGCTAATAATAATGATTATTATTATCCAACTAAACTACTTACCTTGTAGATATAAAACAAGTTCAACTGACTACTTCACTAAAAGAATTAATAAAACTAAAAAAAACCAACTCAAATCAAGAACAACTAACATAAATCGAGCACACAGCTTCACCCAAATAGTAAAACAGAACTTTAGAAAATCAATCAATGAAAAAGTTGCAGGCTAGGCAGCTGTTACAAAGTTTATAGTTAGAATAAAATGAGTCAACCCGTATCATTTATTAAAACGTACAATAATAATTGATTCTATAATGATTGGAAAAACTACATTCATGTCTAAGGCAAATCGTACAATAAAATTCACAGTTACCGCCATTATCAGAACGAAAACAGCACACTGCTAAATAATCAACATTTATAAATATAAAGAATCAAAGATAGCTCATACTGCCAATGTGGCAGTATGGGCAGTAACATTAGAACATACATCTTTGAATGTCCAAACAACAATGCAACACTACGTACTTTACTATATATCAACTGAAAATATCAAAAGTTAACAACTTCGCATTTTTTTATCGAAGCCCGAATGCACATCTAAAAATACTAAAGTTCACCACTGATCTAACATCATAATTAGTTTTTTATCCAACCATATCTCTCATTTGCTCATTCAACATTTTAGAGGGGACTGAAACAAAAAGTTGAAGAAATGAAGTTGAATCTTCCTTGGATAGAAAGGCTCGATTGTGTTAATGATCAAGCACCTTTAGCTCCTGAAATTGCTGCTCAAATATCAACGCAGGAGGAAAGAAGAGAAACTCAGATGAAAAATAATAAGAAGTTGCCGCAATTTGCACCAAGTGAAGATCCAGTGTTGAATGATTTTAAAAGGGAAATGCTTTTCTACCGTAGAGCACAAGCTGCAGTATCAGAAGCTATTCCCAAATTGAAAGGCTTGGGATTGTTGACAAAAAGGTATGGAAATCTATTGTTAATTTATATTAACCTAACCTTCATACTTAACTAGTCAAACCGTCAAATGGTGAGAATATGTTGATACATTATTTTATTTAACATTCAAATTGATCCCAAATCAAAATAACTGCTCGAACAAAACAAAGAGATCAAACAGAACTCTTCGAAATTATCAAACAGTAGAACTGTGGTAATACTTCTCGGGGCACATTTCATCCAAGCATAAGGTCATCTGATGATCCTAATCACAAGGTCACCTGATAATGCCAACTCGGTTGGCAAAATGAGCATTGAAAAAAGTATTACCCGATTTGTGTCGCGAAAAATAGTTTTAATAGATTTGAATTGAATGTTGTTCGAATTCATTTTCCTACAGTGTTTGTAACTACTTGAATTATATTCTTCAATAAAATAGATTTACTCAAAGTAGGAATGATATATGTATCAGATTATTGTTTTTATATATGCCACACCAGAGCAAAAATACTTGATGTCCTTTGTTTGAAGGTGGTCGACAATGTTTCATGGTGCATTTCANTCAATAAAATAAGGAACTTTTTGTAGCAAATAAAAGCTTCATTCTATAAAATATTGTTTTATTGAAATTTAGTTTTTTTAATCGGAAATAAATGCTTACTATCGTAAAATATTATGATTGTAAGCTTTTATTGATTGAAACCTAAGGTATTTTTTTATCGTAAAACGTATACCCCGTTGCACTATACTGCTTAAGACGACTATTCTCGCAAACGCCAAAAAAAAACAGCAGTGGGTGAGCTACGACAAAAAGCCAATGCGCAGTGAAAGGGTTAATATGATATAAAATGATTTGAAATCCATGGAAGAATCAATAAATTAAAAAGATTAGCTAAAAAAATAACAATTATATCAAGCAGAAAAACTGAAATGGGAAATGTTCCTCAATTTGGGTTATTACAGCAAATGCAAGTTTGAACAAAATAAAGTTGAGTTTAATTCATGAGTTTTTCAAATTCACTTTATGTATATTGAGACATCACACTTAATATTTTTATTAACCAGGACATGATCCAGTAGATAATTCGTTTTGCTTGTTTGTCTAGTCGCATTATTCTGGTCAACTATGTTACATACTCTAAAACCACTCATAGTTACCACATCAATGTATTCTTTTGTTTCCTCTGAATCAGCATTCAGGAGATTGACATTCATATCTCCCAGTACAATAGTTTTATTCTTTTTGTTACATACTATACTCTGAAATATACCGATAAATTTCCTAAATTGATATTTAGGTGGTTTATGCATACCATATATTTGCGGATTTAAAGATTTTAACGAAACTGCCATTAAATTATATTGATCAGAGCCATAAACTTTTTCTATCACACTGAAATCAATATGTTCACAAATATATACAGAAACACCTCCAGCTCTTCCTTCTCTGCAGGAATGAACAGCCACAAATCCATCTAGATCAAAAAATTAAACTTTATTGTCAGACAGCCACGTCTCCGTCAATACCAAGATATCACAGCCATTTGTTTTTATAAAACAATATAGTTCGTCCAACTTATTACGCAAACTTGAGTTTAAGCTTGAGGAAGCTATTGTATAGCGAAACACGTGTCGCGGTTTTGTAAAACCCTTTCTAGTGAAATTCATACAATAAACTGTATAAATTACTTTTAATATGGATTTTCAAGTATCACCCAGTTCTATTCAATTGTTACATTATTAGTTGAAGGTTTTTTTTTATTAACTAATAAAGGGGGATGATATTTGACTGGTGTTATTAAATGTTCATCGGATTTTGTGCACAAAGAGTCAAGGTTATCAGTTACAACCAAATCCAGCAACAGAACCATAGTAATAATTTATGTGAAATACATTGTGAAGGGCGTACATATTAGAAACAACATTAACTGCTTCAGTTTCTGCCCTGCTTGAACCGACAAGTGGTGTGGCTAAAGAACATGATTCGTCATGGGACCATATGGCTTTGGGAATGTTGAAATCACCCAGAATCAAGATTGGAATATCCATAGATCTCTCTACTAGTCTATCTAAATCTTCTGCAAACACTGAATATTTGTCCGCTGCTGAGAGACGTGGAAAATAACTGTGCTCAGAATAAAATAACGTCAGGGAGTTTCAACTAAAGCAAACAGTTGTTCTATTTCATTCATGGAAGGTAACAGTTCACTTGGGATGTCTCTGTAAACAGCAATAAGGAAGCCTCTCTCTGCTTGCCGAGCTTTTCTGTTCCAATCGGTCTTTACGATAAATAACATAATTACCTAGTCAGAGTTCTGCATCTGCAAAGCTATTGTTCAGCCACTTTTCAGCGAGTTCAAGAATGTCAAAATAAGTTATGGCTACATTATACAGTTGATCGAGTTTTGTTCGAAAACCACGAACATTTCAACAATAAATTTGGATATGTTGTGATTAGAGTGGTATGAAAGGCACATATAGTTTTTTGGATATATAACCACTATTTTAGAAAACCATTTCCTCATAATTGCCAGCACAAATGTAAGTGTCATGGTTACTAAGCAACTACAATTGTCAATATTACAATAAACTCTGTCAAATAAAAGATTTAGGTGTCGTTTTTGACTCAAAAATGTCATTTAAGTACCAAATAACGGAAGCCTCATCTCGAGCCCGTGAGATGTTAGGCTTTACACTTCGTTCTGCTAGAGACCTAAGTGTCGAATCTATAAAACTGATTTATTGTGCACAAGTGAGATCCATTCTTGAGTATAACTCACAGCAACGCTTAGGCTACTATTTATTTTGGGACTAGACATCATGTCCCTCTACAGATTTGTGGTGGACATGAGAAACAATCTGTTGAAAATGAAGAAATTCTGCTTGATGAGCTCTAATATGTTCAAAATATGTTTTTTCCGTTAATCAGCTATCGCACTCCTACGAACGACAACCCTCAGAAGTCGAAACTTGTGCGGGCTAAGGATTAACGAGGTCTTACCTTTTAACGTGTGATTCATAACATATGCAATGTGCCTTACAACAACGCCAAGATGGTCATACTGAAAGACTCTAGAATCTCTCCCAACACTTAGAAAATCACATTAAACTATAGTTTACTTGAGAATAGTTGAAACATTCTGTAATTTACTTGAGAATCGTTTAACAAACCGAAACCGGTCGTAACAAATAAAAAACTTAGTAGAAATCAGGCAAAAGTTGATTTTATCCTAAATTGGTTAGTTATTGCTATGATTACTGAATTGAGTTGTCACCAATGAATAGTCGTAATCATTACATTTTAGGTTTATTTTATTGTCTTCACACTATAATTCCAACAGTTCTGCCCAATGTCAAGAAGCATATGTGAAGTTACCGTAACAATACTTGAAAAAGGTGAAAACAAGACAATTTTTTTTTATTGAAAAGTATTCTCAAGTTATAGTTTTTATTTCACAACCGACCACTCATTTCTATAAAATTATATACACCTAAGAATTAACAAACCTGCATTCAATGTAATAATTTTGAACTTACAGTAATAGAATTGACAAAGTCTGTAATGAAGGAAAATATTCTGTTTGACTTTGCATTAACAGAAACATTATTTTATGGATAGTTTCTCCATAACTCAAATTTATAGTTTTGATTTGTGAATTGAAATAAATTATTTCATTTGAAAATATCATCTAATGGAGTAAGCTTATAGCTGTCTTTAGGTCTTGTGGCTTCTGCATGAAGTTTCTGTTCTACTCGATTAACATACTTGTTTTTGGCTGCTAATCGAAGTTGTAGTTGATACTTAGATGGGCTTACATAATTAGGATTTTCCCATAAGGCTACACCACCAAAACTACCAGAAAAAATTTTTACCTATAAAAGAAAGAAATCAGCTTTGAAAAACACACATATAAGTTTTACGTACTGGGTTGAGCACAAATCTTGGGCCAACTTCTGAAAGAGCACCATCTTCAGAAAGTATTTGATAATTTCTGAACCAAATTCTGTTGTCCAATACAGAAAAAGTATAAACGTGGTCAAAAAACGGTTGACTCTTTGGGTGGTGATTTGGTACTCCAAATATTTGGGTGAACAATTCCTTTAGCAGAGAATAATGAGGTTTTTCATTAAAAACTGGATCAAAACTGAGTATAGGTCTAGACCCCCTTAGACAATTTCCAGTTAATTTTAGTTCTTCCATTGTATAAACTGAAAAATTAAAAAGTTTAGTACTAAGAATAGAGTAATTACTAGACTACCTACTATTTTCAACTAAGAATTTAACGCTGGGACCATTTGGTACGTTCGACATCCACATGTATAAATCTTTTTTCTTTCGACCTTCAAACAAAATGGCTTTGTTACAGTTTTTCATTTCACACATTTCATTTATAACAGATAAAGTTTTGGATCGCTCCATTTTTGATTCTGGTTTATGATGTGGCATCAGTTTCTTCAAATCTTCCATGAGATGTCTATCTCTGTGGTTTATTCCTCTAGATGCAAATATTAACACTCTCTGTTTGTTTATCCATTTTTTCTAAAATATGAAGGCAATGGCTATATTTTACTTTCATTAAAATATAAATAATCATTTATTAAAATAGACATCATTCATGCATATAACTGTTTCTGTTTTTCGTATGTAAATTGCGGTATTGTCTGCAAAGTCTACTATCTGTCCTATAAAAGTTTGAATAAATATTGAACAAGATGGGCCCAAGTACAGTGTCTAGTGGGACGCCATAATTTTGTATGTTTTGAAGATAAAGATCACTTGAGAGTCTATTCTTCACGGGCATCCATTGTAACATATCCAGCATTGTTTAAATGCTGGATGCACGATTTTGTGATTACTGAAGTGATGAGAGTTTGGCCAGAGAAAGCTACCACAATATTCAAAATTTGGCTGTATAATTGTGTTATATACAAGGTGAGTTCATATATCAACTTTTTTCACTCCTCAATTATTCGGATTTTAGATACGGAGTGAAAATATTGCAACTTGTGGCATTCCGTATTTCAGAAATAGAGTGGAAAGAGTTGGGACTACGGACTTTTGTAGTGAACCTGCGTATTTGAAATTATTTTCGTGTATTTCAAATTTGTATGTGCTTGCATTACAGTATTTGTGATTGATTCTTCAACTTTTTACAAACAATATTTCTGAAGGTAATTAGAATAGTTCCGAGAAGTGTCATGACTCAATACGAAGACTATAATCCCACACAATATCTATAATATACTTGATGAGTACCTGTATAAAATTATATATACAGGTTCCAATCAATTTGTTTGGCTATAATATGCAGGGAAAAATATTCTTTGGAGAAACTCTCAGTACTACCTGAAATGTTTTGAGTGTTAAAAATGTTTGTGTCTCACAAGAAAGGTTTTAAGTATAGGATCAAATAGATTGAGGATCAAAGGCTTCCAATTAAATTACTGTTTCTATGAAGGAATGCATGGAGTTGCTATGAAAAATCCTCTCAGCTCTGTGGTTGCAAATATCTACATGGAATTTTTTGAAAAGAAAGTGCTAGGCACCGGTTTCACTGTTTCCAATGCGGAAAACTGTTTAAACATCACAACATTAAGACCGTTTACAGGCAAGTACAAAAGAAAGCCTTTCACATCCGCCAGTGTTTACCGGATTCTCTGTGCCTATGGCTCAGTTCACATCGGAACTACCAAACGCAGCATTAATGCCAGGATATAACACAAGCGTACCTGCCACCTCATGCAACCAGAGAAATCGCAATTGCAAAACATGCCCTTCAGATATTCACGAGTCGAAAATAGGTCTCACAAGTTGCTGGTAGCATTCCTAGTGGGCAAGTGATTTTGTTTTTTTATATTTACTCAATGCTATGTCACTCAATTTTGACAAAATTTTTATATTTTCCTTAATCCATGGTAACTTTTTGTGTTAGGATCTGAAATATTTCATTATAAGTGGTGCATTGATATTCACTAAACAATTAATGTTATTGTTGAGAAAACCAATTTTCGATCAATGTGAATAATATAAATATTCCATCGAATAGCTTCAAAATCCACATGAAAATGATAACAATATTGGACAAATTATCCACTTTAGGAATTTCCAAATTGCAATGAATGAAGAAATGTCTCACCAAATTAGTGTTTAAAATCTGAAAGAATGTCAAAATTAGTTTAGAGATTGTCAGTTGATGTCACGGAATTATTTGTTAAAATATATCAAGGGGTCAAGCTATATTGCATGAGCTGAAGTATCTTTATCCAGAAATATAAAATAAAAATCCATAATCCCCTTACCTTTTTCTCTATTGGTTCTTCCGACTGTCTCACTGAAGGGGGTCGTTCAGGTTCGATGACAACAGTTTCACGTTTTCGTTTCCGCGATTTTTTCATTTCCATTATTAAAAAAAATATTCAAACACGTGTAACTTGAGTACAAATGCTATGCCTGCAATATGCAACTTTTCACAATCCAAAATATCCGTTAACTTAACCCTTCATCTTCTTCTTCCTCATTTTTATGAGTGTTTTCTTCTCTTCTCCGTTTGTAGCTTTAGAGGCACACTAGCCGACAATACAAATCTATGCTGGCCAATGAACTACATAATACTTGTGAACTTGAAAAGTATGCTTCCTGATATTGATAATCTGCACTTTTTGTACTCTGAAAAATTTGTGTTAATATTCTCCAAAGAGAAAATAATTGCAAATCAACACCTCAATCTTTATTATTCTTATTTTTCATTTTCAGAATCGTATTTTGAACTTTACAAGTTTGGAACATTTGCTATCATTTCTATGGAATGTAACAGAAAGAAATTCAGATGAACGAAATTTAAAATTTTCTGAATTTAAAAGCTCACAACTGAATATTGAGTAACCATTTAAAGAGGACCAAGGATTGGGAGACATCTAGATTTTATGATCTCAATTTCAAACTCAGGGAAGAAACCATACACACAAACTTTATAATAAGTGGCAAAATTTAAAAATTATTTCACAGTGAGCCAGTGTAATATATGTCTTGGAGAATACACAGCTCTTACTCAAGTTCAGTGGTAGGTACTAGACAGAGATTGAAGTAAATTATTGTTAGACCATTACAAATAAAGGCACGGGCACGTATTTGGTAAGTATTGTTTTTTGAATTTTGAATGACGAACACGAATCAAGCATAAGCTATAAGGATACATCACCACATAAACACACTTGATAGTATACCCAATTAACAAATCATCTGTGTTCGTACTAGTCAGTCCTACCGTGAATTCCTTTGATTTATAGTCGAAATAAACCAGGAATCAAACGTTTCAAGTCAGTATCTTCATTTTATAACTTTTAAAAATTATTGTCAAAGTCAGAATCGTTTTTTTTTCATAAACAAACCATGATCAATTATTTTAACATAGTAAATGAACAAAATTAATTTAGGAGTTTAGAGTCGGCTTTCTTGCGACAATGTTTCCCTCGAATACAGGTCATATTTTTGTTTTGATTTTCTCAGAAGACAGAAGAAGAACGAAGAACATCAAAAGAAAATTGATGAAGATTTTGAAACGTGCGTATAGTTTGAGTAGATAATATTACTTATTTAATAAAATATTGAAAGAAATATTTCGAAACTTTTTTCCAGTATGAGTTTTAGTGAATCTGAATTAAGTGACAGTGATGCAGAGGTATTTTTACTATTTGTAATTGTTAATGAAGTAATGATGAATATACCTTTTTCAGCTTCAAGATGCATTTTCCAAAGGAAAGCTGAAACCAGGACTCAACAAATTGGTAGAAGCACCTAAACAATTTGTTAATAATGTGGTAAGCAAATACAGTATTAAAAACGTGGAAGAAATGGATGATGGTTCAACTAAAAATAGTGAGGAACTTGCAAAAGAACAAGAAATAAAAATGTATGTAAAAAGTGTATTAAAGAACCTTTTTCAGTAGTCGTCGAAGTAACTGAAAAATCGTAGCGTTTTTAATTGGTAAAAGGACCTTTCTTAGTAGGCGTTGAAGCAACTGAAGAATCGCAGCTTTTTCCATTGGTGAAACTAGTGGTGCCTTCGTTTCACACTGATATTACACTAGTTCTGACAAATTTCAATATTGGTGCATTCCCGAAGGAACATAAATTTCAACACGTCACTCAACAACACTATTACTATAACAAATTATTAGGCAAGATTCATTCCATTGGCTACTGAAATAATTTAAAATTAATAGATTGACAAAAATAATTGTTAATTTAATCTTAATGATTATTCTGAAAGCAAATCCTATTAACTTCCAACATAAAATCAGAATAAACAATAAAAAAAAACATTGATAACTGAAGTGTCACTTGTTGCAGTTAAGACCCAAAAATAATCTCAAGCTACATTTTATTCAGTTTCAATGTGTATGTGAATAATGAAAAAAATATTAGCAGGGCAATAATAAAACTGCAGCACTTTTTAATTATATGATAACAGCAAACCGTTTCGAATCAGGCTCAAGTCTTGTTCAAAAGGTATACAAGGTTTACATTTCTTATAATCATTCAACATGCAACGAAATAGCGAAAAAAGATAATTCTTGTTTTTCAGAGGAGGATTTGGAAAAAAAAATTTTTGGTGGTGATTTTAAAATTACTAAAGTCTGACAAATGAAAATAAGGGAAATGACAGAAGATAGTAAAATTCTATATGAACCAAAGGCAAACATGTTACTTACTTATCCTTCACAAATCTACTGATTTAGCCTATGAGTGATCAAACNCAGGAGGAAAGAAGAGAAACTCAGATGAAAAATAATAAGAAGTTGCCGCAATTTGCACCAAGTGAAGATCCAGTGTTGAATGATTTTAAAAGGGAAATGCTTTTCTACCGTAGAGCACAAGCTGCAGTATCAGAAGCTATTCCCAAATTGAAAGGCTTGGGATTGTTGACAAAAAGGTATGGAAATCTATTGTTAATTTATATTAACCTAACCTTCATACTTAACTAGTCAAACCGTCAAATGGTGAGAATATGTTGATACATTATTTTATTTAACATTCAAATTGATCCCAAATCAAAATAACTGCTCGAACAAAACAAAGAGATCAAACAGAACTCTTCGAAATTATCAAACAGTAGAACTGTGGTAATACTTCTCGGGGCACATTTCATCCAAGCATAAGGTCATCTGATGATCCTAATCACAAGGTCACCTGATAATGCCAACTCGGTTGGCAAAATGAGCATTGAAAAAAGTATTACCCGATTTGTGTCGCGAAAAATAGTTTTAATAGATTTGAATTGAATGTTGTTCGAATTCATTTTCCTACAGTGTTCGTAACTACTTGAATTATATTCTTCAATAAAATAGATTTACTCAAAGTAGGAATGATAAATGTATCAGATTATTGTTTTTATATATGCCACACCAGAGCAAAAATACTTGATGTCCTTTGTTTGAAGGTGGTCGACAATGTTTCATGGTGCATTTCATTAGTTCCGACTTCCATTGTTTAACCCTTTCACTGCCCAAGGTGAGTATACTCGATCGTGGGCGTAGTGCTTGAGACGAGATAACTCGCATTTCCAAATAAATACGACCTGACTGCATTGTTTTTCAAGGTATATTTATGTAAAATTATTTAATAATGACAAATTTGCAAAATAACTACTGAACTGTCAAATGGTGAGTTTACTTATCGGGCGTGCAAAAAGATTTTTACCGTGCGATACAAAGACAAATGCAAAGTGAATATGTTATCCTCTAGTCATAAGCCAGATGTAAAGTGTATTGGAAAAAACCGAGACACTGGTCGTCAGATATTCAAGCCCACATGCATCGTAGATTACAACACCTATATGGGAGCTGTTGACAAAACAGACATGCGTCCGCAAAAGCAAAAAATGGTACAAAAAGTATATTTTCATCTATTTGATATGGCGGTTCTAAACAGCTACCAAATGTACAAAACCACTACTCCTAATTATGTATCTATTGAAAAATATCATTGAAAAAGTATATAATTTTCTAAGTTTTTGTTATCACCACCCTTAAATATTGGTATTACTTTTCCAGTCTTCAGTATCTCAGGAAATATCCCAGCTTTGAAAATATCGTTTATCAAATTAATGAGTATGGAAATGACATTTTTGTCAAATAATATTATGTCTGTAACGGATATGTTGTCGTGCCCTGCTGCAGAGTTTTTATTGAGTGCAACTATGACTTCAGATACCTCTTTAGCATT